CCCAGTCTATCCCAGTCCATCCCAGTCTATCCCAGTATCCCCGGTACCGTGTAGATGAGGCTGAGCAGGTCTCCTCTCCGGGATCTCTCGGGGCAGCGCTGCGGCCGCTTCCTCACCCCGATCTGGAGCCGCCGCGGCTCGGCCGACACCGGGGGCAGCGCCAGGGCCAGGGCCAGCAAGAGCCACTGCGTTAATTACCGTTAATTACCGTTAATTAGTGTTAATTAGCGTTAATTGGCACCGCTTCCTCACCCCGATCTGGAGCCGCCGCGGCTCGGCCGACTGCGTTAATTACCGTTAATTACCGTTAATTACCGTTAATTACCGTTAATTACCGTTAATTACCGTTAATTACCGTTAATTAGCGTTAATTGGCACCGCTTCCTCACCCCGATCTGGAGCCGCCGCGGCTCGGCCGACACCGGGGGCAGCGCCAGGGCCAGGGCCAGCAATAACCACTGCGTTAATTACCGTTAATTACCGTTAATTACCGTTAATTACCGTTAATTAGTGTTAATTAGCGTTAATTGGCACCGCTTCCTCACCCCGATCTGGAGCCGCCGCGGCTCGGCCGACACCGGGGGCAGCGCCAGGGCCAGGGCCAGCAGGAGCCACTGCGTTAATTACCGTTAATTAGGTTAATTACCGTTAATTAGCGTTAATTAGTCGTTAATTAGCGTTAATTGGCACCGCTTCCTCACCCCGATCTGGAGCCGCCGCGGCTCGGCCGACACCGGGGGCAGCGCCAGGGCCAGGGCCAGCAATAACCACTGCGTTAATTACCGTTAATTAGCGTTAATTAGCGTTAATTAGTGTTAATTGGCACCTCGGCATCACCCTAACAGCGCCAGCATCAGGGCCAGCAGGAGCCACTGCAGTTAATTAGTGTTAATTATTGTTAATTGGTACCTCGGCCGACACCGGGGGCAGCGCCAGAGCCAGAGCCAGCCACCACCACGGCGTTAATTAGTGTTAATTAGGGTTAATTAGGCTTAATTTGGGTTAATTTGGGTTAATTATCTTTAATTGGCACCTCAGCCAGCACCAGGGGCAGCGCCAGGTGTTAATTAGTGTTAATTATCGTTAATTATCGTTAATTATCGTTAATTGGCACCTCGGTGTCACTGGGGGCAGCGCCAGCAACAGCCACTGAGGGGTTAATTAGTGTTAATTAGTGTTAATTGGGGTTAATTGGCACCTCGGCCGTCACCAGGGGCAGCGCCAGAGCCAGAAACAGTCACTGAGGGGTTAATTAGTGTTAATTATCGTTAATTATCGTTAATTGGCACCTCAGTGTCACCAGGGGCAGCGCCAGAGCCAGAAACAGCAACAGCCACTGAGGGGTTAATTAGTGTTAATTAGTGTTAATTTGGGTTAATTATCGCCTGGGTGTCACCGGAGCAGCGCCAGAGCCAGAGCCAGCAGGAGCCACTGCGATAATTATTTAGTGTTAATTAGTGTTAATTGGGGTTAATTATCACCTGGGTGTCACCGGGGGCAGCGCCAGTGCCAGAGCCAGTAGGAGCCACTGCATTAATTAATGTTAATTAGTGTTAATTGGGGTTAATTATCACCTCAGTGTCACCCTGACAGCACCAGTGCCAGAGCCAGCAGGAGCCACTATGATAATTAATTAGTGTTAATTAGTGTTAATTGGGGTTAATTGGCACCTCGGTGTCACTGGGGGCAGCGCCAGTGCCAGAGCCAGCAGGAGCCACTGAGATAATTAATTAGTGTTAATTGGGGTTAATTATCACCTCGGTGTCACCGGAGGAGCGCCAGAGCCAGAGCCAGCAGGAGCCACTGCATTAATTAATGTTAATTAGTGTTAATTGGGGTTAATTATCACCTCAGCACCACCCTGACAGCGCCAGCAGAAAACACTGATGGGAACCCGCGTTAATTATCATTAATTGGCATTAATTGGCATTAATTGGCATTATCATTGTTAATAACTGCCATTAATTCTCATTAATTCTCATTAACCCTCATTAATTTTCATTAACTGCCACTAATTGTCATGAATTAGCATTAATTGTTAATAACAAATATTAATTTTCATTAATTCTCATTAATTCCCAGTAATTGCCATTAACTTTCATTAATTGCCATTAATTGCTATTAGTTGTCATTAACTGCCACTAATTCTCCTTAAGTCTCATTAATTGCCATTAATTGCCATTAACTTTCATTAATTGCCATTAACTTTCATTAATTGCCATTAGTTGCCATTAATTCTCATTAATTGCCATTAATTACCATTAACTTTCATTAATTCTCATTAACCCTCATTAATTGCTATTAACTCTCATTAATTCTCATTAACCCTCATTAATTGCCATTAAATCTCATTAATTCTCATTAACCCTCATTAATTGCCATTAACTCTCATTAATTCTCATTAACCCTCATTAATTGCCATTAACTCTCATTAATTCTCATTAATCCTCATTAATTGCCATTAACTCTCATTAATTCTCATTAACCCTCATTAATTGCCATTAACTCTCATTAATTCTCATTAATCCTCATTAATTGCCATTAACTCTCATTAATTCTCATTAATTCCCATTAACCTTCATTAGTTGCCATTAATCCTCATAAATTCTCATTAATTGCAATTAATTCTCATTAACCCTCATTAATTCTCATCAGCTTTCATTAATTGCCATTCGTTCTCATTAGTTGCCATTAATTCCCATTAATTCCCATTAATTGCCATTAATTCTCATTAACCCTCATTAATTGCCAGCCGCTGGGGGG